GGACGTCTTTTTGTGATTTTTTTTTTTTAGATTGCGCAGGTGACCCCCCCCACCCCCCCCATTAGAGAGATTATTCCCCACTTCCTGTCCCGGTGACACCCATACCAGAAAGAAGGTGAGGGGTTGTCACCGGGACGGACAGACAGCAGTCCACCCCCCACAGATACGCAGAGATGGTGGGTTTGCCGGGACAGTCCCACGACCTGCCCTCTGTCCCGGGTCCAGGAATCGCAGCCAGGCCCATATTTATTGCTGATTGGGTGCAGGAGCTCCGAAAAAAGTGGGCTTTCCTTACATATATATCGGTGGCACTGTGCCGTAAAATGGGCGTGGTCTAAGCATGGCCCCCATTAAGTGGATGTGCTTTAAGTATGGCCACCCATTAAGTGGGTGTGGTCTAAGCATATTCACCCATTATGTGGGTGTGGTCTAAGCATATTCACCCATTATGTGGGTGTGGTCTAAACATAGTCACCCATTATGTGGGTGTGGTCTAAGCATAGCCACCCATTAAGTGGGCGTGGTCTAATCATAGCCACCAATTAAGTGGGCGTGGTCTAAGCCTGACCACCCATTAAGTGGGTGTGGTCTAAGCATATTCATCCTGTCCAGACAGGAAATGGAAATCTCCCCAGCGGGGACACGGAGGTTTTTAACCCTTCATCAGTTGGAGTTGAGCTCTCCCAACCCCCCTTCCATAGATCCACCCCCTTCCTGCCTGCCACGCCCCTTTAAGGTCGCCCATCACGTGATCCGGAGCCCCCCTAGCTCTGCCTCCGAGGACGCGGCTGTTAAGGCCCTCCCTCCGCGATGCCTTCCATGGTCGACAAGAGGTGACAGAAGTCTCCGCCCCCTTTTGCGGATTTCAGGTTTTCATGTTGTCACCCACTATCACCCCCCCCCCCCCATTCCTCTCATGTCACGCTTCTCCCACCATTCCATGTAGATTGCGTGTTATCTCTCACATACAAGGAGGAAGTCAGCGCGGCCTCTCTGATCTATTCCTTCTGGGCGGGGCAGAGGGGGCGTGCCTTGGGGGCATCAGTGGGGGGGGGGGGTGCAAAGAGGGGTTCACAGTGCATGGGGGGGGGGGGAGGGGCACGTTGGCCTTTTTGGACCTTTCCTCGTCATGGTGCATCTCCCGATATATAAACACCGGAGGGGGGGGTGGAGTGCTCCTTTAAGTCGCACATTCTGGGCGGAGACTTGGCCTCTGGGAATTCACACTGGGCGGACTTTGCTCTCTGTATCCGGGAATGGCGGGGAAATATTCGCACCTCTCTGACCTCTGAGTCATCGCAGAGCTCCGCCCCCTCCATCTACATATATCCACAGAGAGCGAATCCCACCATTCCTGAAATGATGTCATTGGTCTGCTGCAGGCAGGAGGGGGCATGTCCTCAGTCTCCCCTCCCCCAGTGATCAGACTGTACATTGTAACTTTGTAGATGGCGGAGGAGTCATTTCCTCAGTCTCCCCTCCCCCAGTGATCAGACTGTACATTGTAACTTTGTAGAAGGAGGAGGAGGCGTTTCCTCAGTCTCTCCTCCCCCAGTGATCAGACTGTACATTGTACCTTTGTAGGAGGAGGAGTCATTTCCTCAGTCTCCTCCCCCAGCGATCAGACTGTACATTGTAACTTTGTAGATGGAGGAGGAGTCATTTCCTCAGTCTCTCCTCCCCCCAGTGATCAGACTGTACATTGTAACTTTGTAGAAGGAGGAGGAGTCATTTCCTCAGTCACTCCTCCCCCAGTGATCAGACTGTACATTGTAACTTTGTAGAAGAAGGAGGAGGAGGCGTTTCCTCAGTCTCTCCTCCCCCAGTGATCAGACTGTACATTGTAACTTTGTAGATGGAGGAGGAGTCATTTCCTCAGTCTCCTCCCCCAGCGATCAGACTGTACATTGTAACTTTGTAGATGGAGGAGGAGTCATTTCCTCAGTCTCTCCTCCCCCCAGTGATCAGACTGTACATTGTAACTTTGTAGAAGGAGGAGGAGTCATTTCCTCAGTCACTCCTCCCCCAGTGATCAGACTGTACATTGTAACTTTGTAGAAGGAGAGGAGGAGGGCGTTTCCTCAGTCTCTCCTCCCCCAGTGATCAGACTGTACATTGTAACTTTGTAGATGGAGGAGGAGTCATTTCCTCAGTCACTCCTCCCCCAGTGATCAGACTGTACATTGTAACTTTGTAGAAGGAGGAGGAGTCATTTCCTCAGTCTCCTCCCCCAGTGATCAGACTGTACATTGTAACTTTGTAGATGGAGGAGTCATTTCCTCAGTCTCTCCTCCCCCCAGTGATCAGACTGTACATTGTAACTTTGTAGAAGGAGGAGGAGTCATTTCCTCAGTCTCCCCTCCCCCAGTGATCAGACTGTACATTGTAACTTTGTAGAAGGGGGAGGAGTCATTTCCTCAGTCTCCCCTCCCCCTCTGGCGTGTGTATGAAGGTCCCGCACAGCTGGGTGTACATGCATGTTGTGCGGACGGGGAAGGTGAATGTTCTGCGGTTGGAGGTGTGAATGTGGAAATACTTCATGACGGCCACTAGATGGCGCTCTGGTGATCACCTCTTTCCGGGGACGGCCCCATCTAGTGGCTGGGTTGGGATTTTCCTTACATTCGAAGTGCAGAGGACATTCAGCATTGTGGGCGGAGCACAGGCACAGCATGCCCCACCCCCTTTCTCCCGAGCATCAGGGTTGGACAAACACAACTGTTCACCAGAGTGGAGGTCTTCAGATTCATCCAAGATTCACACATTTCTAATTGGATATGATTGGGGAAATGTGTGAATCTTGGGTGAAAGTGGTATGGAAGTGGTGTGAATCTTGGGTGAAAGTGGTATGGAAGTGGTGTGAATCTTGGGTGAAAGTGGTATGGAAGTGGTGTGAATCTCGGGTGAAAGTGGTATGGAAGTGGTGAGAATCCTGGGTGAAAGTGGTATGGAAGTGGTGTGAATCTTGGGTGAAAGTGGTATGGAAGTGGTGGGAATCCTGGGTGAAAGTGGTATGGAAGTGGTGTGTGAATCTCGGGTGAAAGTGGTATGGAAGTGGTGAGAATCCTGGGTGAAAGTGGTATGGAAGTGGTGTGAATCTTGGGTGAAAGTGGTATGGAAGTGGTGTGAATCTCGGGTGAAAGTGGTATGGAAGTGGTGTGAATCTTGGGTGAAAGTGGCAGGGATCCTGGGTGAAAGTGGTATGGAAGTGGTGTGAATCTTGGGTGAAAGTGGTATGGAAGTGGTGTGAATCTTGGGTGAAAGTGGTATGGAAGTGGTGTGAATCTCGGGTGAAAGTGGTATGGAAGTGGTGTGAATCTTGGGTGAGACTGGTATGGAAGTGGTGAGAATCCTGGGTGAAAGTGGTATGGAAGTGGTGTGAATCTTGGGTGAAAGTGGCAGGGATCCCGGGGTGAAAGTGGTATGGAAGTGGTGTGAATCTTGGGTGAAAGTGGTATATGGAAGTGGTGTGAATCTTGGGTGAAAGTGGTATGGAAGTGGTGTGAATCTCGGTGAAAGTGGTATGGAAGTGGTGGGAATCCTGGGTGAAAGTGGTATGGAAGTGGTGTGAATCTTGGGTGAAAGTGGCAGGGATCCGGGGTGAAAGTGGTATGGAAGTGGTGTGAATCTTGGGTGAAAGTGGTATGGAAGTGGTGTGAATCTTGGGTGAAAGTGGTATGGAAGTGGTGTGAATCTTGGGTGAGAGTGGTATGGAAGTGGTGTGAATCTTGGGTGAAAGTGGTATGGAAGTGGTGTGAATCTTGGGTGAAAGTGGTATGGAAGTGGTGAGAATCATGGTTGAAAGTGTGGCAGGAATCTTGGGTGAGAGTGGTATGGAGTGGTGTGAGAATCTTGGGTGAAAGTGGTGTGAATCTTGGGTGGGAGTGGTATAGAAGTGGTGTGAATCTTGGGTGAAAGTGGTATGGAAGTGCAGTGAATGTTGGGTGAAAGTGGTGTGAATCTTGGGTGAAAGTGGTGTGAATCTTGGGTGAGAGTGGTATGGAAGTGGTGTGAATTTGGGTGAAAGTGGTATGGAAGTGGGTGTGAATCTTGGGTGAAAGTGGTGTGAATCTTGGGTGAAAGTGGTATGGAAGTGGTGAGAATCTTGGGTGAAAGTGGTATGGAAGTGGTGAGAATCTTGGGTGAAAGTGGTGTGAATCTTGGGTGGGGAGTGGTATAGAAGTGGTGTGAATCTTGGGTGAAAGTGGTATGGAAGTGCAGTGAATGTTGGGTGAAAGTGGTGTGAATTTTGGGTGAAAGTGGTGTGAATCTTGGGTGAAAGTGGTGTGAATCTTGGGTGAAAGTGGTATGGAAGTGGTGAGAATCTTGGGTGAAAGTGGTATGGAAGTGGTGAGAATCTTGGGTGAAAGTGGTGTGAATTGGGGTGGGAGTGGTATAGAAGTGGTGTGAATCTTGGGTGAAAGTGGTATGGAAATGCTGTGAATATTGGGTGAAAGTGGTGTGAATCTTGGGTGAAAGTAGTGTGAATCTTGGGTGAAAGTGATATAGAAGTGGTGTGAATCTTGGGTGAAAGTGGTGTGAATGTTGGGTGAAAGTTGTATAAAAATGGTGGCAGTGATGTGAGTCTTGAGTGAAAGTGGTGTGAATGTTGGGTGAAAGTAGTGTGAATCTTGGGTGAAAGTAGTGTGAATCTTGGGTGAAAGTAGTGTGAATCTTGGGTGAAAGTGATATAGAAGTGGTGTGAATCTTGGGTGAAAGTGGTGTGAATGTTGGGTGAAAGTTGTATAAAAATGGTGGCAGTGATGTGAGTCTTGAGTGAAAGTGGTGTGAATGTTGGGTGAAAACCTCCATAGCGAGGTCCTTGGCGCACAGCACACGCAGGGACGGACACGGATGGTACAAAACACGGCTGTTTATTGGGGGATTGGACACGGGTTAGGCAGACTGGATTGCATTAACAGATTTCGGGGCTCCTCCCCCTCTGGCGATGGGAATGTATCGGTGCGGTGTGATTGGCGGTCGGCGGGGGCGGGGCTTCCTCACTTCCGGCCCTTCATGTTCTTGCAGTAATAGTCATTGCAGGCGATGCTGAGGCCGGCGATGAGGGAGAAGAAGCTGTGGAAGTTGACCCGCCCATCGCGGCACTGATCCAGATCCTTCATGATCTTGTCCACCGCCAGCGGGTCGTTCTGGTTCTGGGGGGGGGAGGGGACAGAAGAACAGAGATAACAAGACGCTACAAATGTATCCACCGAGACAAACAATGTACAGTGAAGGAAATGATACCAGACTCCTGCGCTGGCAGCCTGCCCTCCATGATGCAGGAGGAACCCCCCTCCCCCCTCCCTGCATCTGGTTATCGAATTGCGCAATAGCCTGTGAATGGCGCTCATTGTCCCCTCACACCCAGCAGAGGGCGGAGCCTGCAGATTAGTTGGGGCGAGATGAGGCTTGTAAGGTGTCAGAGGGCGCTAATCCTAATGAGGGTGTCAGAGGGCGTGAGAACATTCCGGATCTAATCCCCGGGATCCCGAGAGATTTACTGTCAGCTTTATGGGTTCCTTTAGGCGGTTGTACCAATCACCTACGTGTATGGTCCGTATACAACCCGACCGGATACAACCCCCACCGGATACGACCCCCACCGGATACGACCCCCACCGGACGACCCCCACCGGACACGACCCCCACCGGACACGACCCCCACCGGACACGACCCCCACCGGACACGACCCCCACCGGACACGACCCCCACCGGACACAACCCCCACCGGACACGACCCCCACCGGATACAACCGGACACGACACCCCGACCGGACACGACCCCCACCGGACACGACCCCGACCGGACACAACCCCGACCGGACACAACCCGACCGGATACGACCCCGACCGGATACGACCCCGACCGGACACGACCCCGACCGGACGCGACCCCCACCGGACGCGACCCCCACCGGACACGACCCCCCCACGGACGCGACCCCGACCGGACACAAACCCGACCGGACACAACCCCCGGACCCGGACATATACAACCCGACCGGATACAACCCCGACCGGATACAACCCCGACCGGATACAACCCCGACCGGATACAACCCCGACCGGGACACAAACCGGACACAACCCCGACCGGACACAAACCGACACAACCCCCCGACCGGACACAAACCCCGGACACACCCCCGGACCGGACAAACCCGACCGGACAAACGACCGGACACACCCCGACCGGACACAACCCGACCGACACAACCCCGACCAGACACAACCCCGACCGGACACAACCCCCCGACCAGACACGACCGGACACAACCCCGACCGGACACAACCCCGACCGGACACAACCCGACACACAACCCCGACCGGACACAACCCCGACCGGACACACAACCCAGACCGGACACAACCCGACCATATACAACCCCGACACAACCCCGACCGGACACAACCCAGACCGGACACAAACCGGACACAACCCCGACCGGACACAACCCCGACCGGACACAACCCCGACCAGACACAACCCCGACCGGACACAACCCGACCAGACACAACCCCGACCGGACACAACCCCGACCGGACACAACCCGACCCGACCGGACCATACGACAACCCCGACCAGACACAACCCCGACCGGACACAACCTGACCAGACCCCGACCAGACACAACCCCGACGGACACAACCCCGACCAGACACAACCCCGACCGGACACAACCCGACCACACAACCCGACCGGACACAACCCCGACCGGACACAACCCCGACCGGACAAACCGGACACCCCGACCGGACACAACCCCGACCGACACAACCCCGACCGGACACAACCCCGACCGGACACAACCCGACCGGACACAACCCCGACCGGACACAACCCCGACCGGACACAAACCCGACCGGACACAACCCCCGGACACAACCCCGACCGGACACAACCCCGACCAGACACAACCGACCAGATACAACCCCGACCAGATACAACCCCGACCGGACACAACCCCGACCGGACACAACCCCGACCAGACACAACCCGACGGACAACCCCGACCGGATACAACCCCGACCGGACACAACCCAGACCGGACACAACCCCGGACACAACCCCGACCAGACACAAAGACACAACCCCGACCAGACACAACCCCCGACCAGACACAACCCCGACCAGACACAACCCCGACCACCCCGACCCAGACACAACCCCGACCATATACAACCCCGACCATATACAACCCCGACCAGACACAACCCCGACCAACACAACCGACCAGATACAACCCCGACCAGATACAACCCCAGTCCTATATACCCCATCTCTATACAACACCAACCTATAGAATCCAATCCTACACAACTCCAATTATATGCCTCCAATCCAATAACACCCCGATCCAATAAACCTCCAATCCCGTAACACCTCGATCCAATAAACCTCCAATCCCGTAACACCCGATCCAATAAACCTCCAATCCCGTAAACACCCCGATCCAATAAACCTCCAATCCCGTAACACCCCGATCCAATAAACCTCCAATCCCGTAACACCCCGATCCAATAAAAACCTCCAATCCCCCTAACACCTCGATCCAATAAACCTCCAATCCCGTAACACCCCGATCCAATAATAACCGCCATCCCCATACAATCCCACACAACTCCAACCCAACGCTCGGTCCAACTGCTGATGCATCTCCCGTAGGTCGTTGTGGGGGAGGTAAGTGGCCCTCTGCAGTGGTTTTGGTGGACGCTCACCTTGAGGAATTCGCTGAACTGGCTCTCCATCAGGCGGTGCAGGTCCTCCTTGGACATGTAGCTCTTGTCCCCGGAGTATTTGTGGAAGGTGAACATGATGGTCTCCATGGCTTGCTCCATTTCTGATGGGACGCCCATGTCTGCGGATTCTGCGTGGAGTTCTGCAAGAGACGGCGGGAGAGTTCAGTCCCAACATTTCCATGGAGGTGATAAAGACGAGACAACATCAATATGACGTCCGGAGGTGGACTCCTCCATAGAGCCCCAACCGTGGACAACCACCACTGAGCGCGAGGGATGGGCGCCATGATGGTTCCACCACTCATCTGAGCGCCTTACAGGACGCATTTATAAAGCGGTGAATGTGACTTTCTCTGGGGGAGAATCAATTTCGGTCATAGATTACCCCTGGACCCGGAGGATTCACCCGCGGAGAAAGTCGGACTCTCCTCTAAAGATCTCCCATTTCATGCCCAGGTCACGTCAAGCCACCCATGAATGTGGTCGCCAAGCCTTCTTCCCATCCCCCGGCCCGTGGTCGGCACACAAAGGGTCAATGTTCCCATTAGCGACTCTATTGATCATTATTAAGTCCTCATCTTGGCGGAGGGGGAGGGGGAGGCGATAGGAACATCTAATGGAGGCTAATGGCCGAGATCGTCCTCTGCCGGGAAAATGGATTCTACGGGACGGCGGCCAACGAAGTGCGCACTCACGGGGGGGGGGGGGGGGGGGGTTGTATGTAGTGCGTGTGCGGAGTCATTATACCAGGAAGTCTGGATCTGAACCAATGACGTCATCAGACTGTGACGTGCGGTACGCCACCAATGATGCCACTGACGTGCGGTACGCCAATGACATGCGGTATGCCACCAATGACGCCACTGATGTGCGGCACACCAATGACATGCGGTATGCCACCAATGATGCCAGTGATGCGGTACACCAATGACATGCGGTACGCCACCAATGACGCCACTGATGTGCGGCACACCAATGACATGCGGTATGCCACCAATGATGCCACTGACGCGCTGTACACCAATGACGCCACTGGACGTGCGGTACGCCAATGACATGCGGTACGCCACCAATGATGCCACTGATGTGCGGATACGCCCAATGACATGCGGTACGCCACCAATGACGCCACTGATGTGCGGACGCCAATGACATGCGGTACGCCACCAATGACGCCACTGATGTGCGGCACACCAATGACATGCGGTATGCCACCAATGATGCCACTGACGCGCGGTACACCAATGACGCCACTGACGTGCGGTACGCCAATGACATGCGGTATGCCACCAATGACGCCACTGATGTGCGGTACGCCAATGACATGCGGTACGCCACCAATGATGCCACTGATGTGCAGCACACCAAATGACATGCGGTATGCCACCAATGATGCCACTGACGCGCGGTACACCAATGATGCCACTGACTGCGGTACACCAATGACATGCGGTACGCCACCAATGACGCCACTGATGTGCGGTACACCAATGACATGCGGTACGCCACCAATGACGCCACTGATGTGCGCCAATGACATGCAATACGCCACCAATGATGCCACTGATGTGCGGTGACGCGGTATGCCACCAATGATGCCACTGACGCGCGGTACACCAATGACGCCACTGACGCGCGGTACACACCAATGACATGCGGTACGCCACCAATGACGCCACTGATGTGCGGTACGCCAATGACATGCGGTACGCCACCAATGACGCCACTGATGTGCGGCACACCAATGACATGCATTTATGCCACCAATGATGCCACTGACGCGCGGTACACCAATGACGCCACTGACGCGCGGTACACCAATGACATGCGGTACGCCACCAATGACGCCACTGATGTGCGGTAAGCCAATGACATGCGGTACGCCACCAATGATGCCACTGACACGCGGTACACCAATTGACGCCACTGACGCGCGGATACACCAATGACATGCGGTACACCAATGACATGCGGTACGCCACCAATGACGCCACTGATGTGCGGTACGCCAATGACATGCGGTACGCCACCAATGACGCCACTGATGTGCGGTACGCCATTTTGACATGCGGTACGCCACCAATGATGCCACTGATGTGCGGTACACCACCAATTTGCCACTGACGTGTGGTACACCAATGACATGCGGTACGCCACCAATGACGCCACTGATGTGCGGTACGCCAATGACATGCAGTACGCCACCAATGATGCCACTGATGTGTGGTACGCCAATGACATGCGGTACGCCACCAATGATGCCACTGATGTGCGGTACACCACCAATGACGCCACTGACGTGTGGTACACCATCACATGTATGCCACCAAATGATGTACTGACGTGCGGTACACCACCATTAATGCCACTGCTGTGCGGTTACTGACATGCGGTACGCCACCAATGATGCCACTGATGTGCGGTACGCCACCAATGACGCCACTGACATGTGGGTATGTCACAATGACGCCATGTGATTCGGTACGCCACCAATGACGCCACTGACGTGTGGTACGCCACCAATGACACCACATTACTATTGCATCATCATTATTTATTGCAACATTATCTTTTCTCTTTTTTTTTATATTTATATATTCATTTTTGCATCATTATTATTTATTCTAATCATTATATTTGTGTCATTATCATTACATTATATTCAAATTATTTTCACTGTATTTTTTTTTGTATCATTGCATTCTTGTCTTTATATTTGTATCCTTATCATTGTATTATTTTTTGTATCATTATTTATTCTAATCACATTATTATCTTTACATTATATTTAAATTCTGTTCATTATATCATTATTATTGTATATATATATTTTTTTTTTTTTTTTGTATTGCATTATCTTTATATTATATTTGTATCCTTATCATATCATTGTCAATATATTATAATCATTGCATTGTATCGATGGTTTTATCATTTTTATTATTTATTGCAACATTATCTTTTTTTTATATATATATATACATTTTTGCATCATCATTATGTATTCCAATCATTATATTTGTATCCTTATTATTGTAACATTACATTATACTCATTGCTTTATCATCGTATCATTATTATTGTATTACTTTTTGTATCATTATTTAATCACATTATTATCTTTACATTATATTCAGATTCTGTTCATTATATCATTATTATTCTGTGTGTATATATATATATATAATTTTTTTTTTTTTTTTATTTTTGTATTGCATCATTATTATTATGTATATATATATATATATTTTTTTTTTTATTTTTTTTTTTTTTTTTATTGCATCATTATTATTATGTTTTATATATTATATTTTATTTTTTTTTTATTTTTTTCATTATTATTTATTCTCATCATTATATTTTGTCATCATCATTTTTATCTTTCAAATTCAGATTTTCATTTATATTATTATCTTTATATTTGTATTTATTATTGTAACATTACATTATACTCGTTTGCTTTATTTCGTATCATTATTATTGTATTATTTTTTGTATCATTATTTTTAATCACATTATTATCTTTACATTATATTCAGATTCTGTTCATTATATCATTATTATTATGTATATATATATATATATATTTATATTTTTTTTTTTTTTTCTCATTATTATTTATTCTCATCATTATATTTGTGTCATTCATTACATTATATTCAAATTATTTTTCATTGTATTTTATCTTTATATTTGTATCTTTCTCATTGTAACGTTATATTACAATCATTGCTTTATCATCGTATCATTATTATTGTATTACTTTTTGTATCATTTATTTAATCACATTATTATTCTTTACATTATATTCAGATTCTGTTCATTATATCATTATTATTATTATGTATATTAAATATATATATATATATATATATTTTTTTTTTTTTTTTTTTTCTCATTTTTATTTATTCTCATCATTATATTTGTGTCATCATCATTACATTCAAATTATTTTCATTGTATTTATTATCTTTACATTATATTCAGATTCTGTTCATTATATCATTATTATGTATGTATGTATGTATATATATAATATTTTTATTTTTTTTTTATTTTTTTCTCATTTTTTTTATTTTATTCTCATCATTACATTCAAATTATTTTCATTGTATTATTATCTTATATATTTGTATCTTTCTCATTGTAACATTATATTATAATCATTGCTTTATCATCGTATCATTATTATTGTATATATACACTCTTTTTTCTGTTATTTTGTTACCTTTGTATTATATCCTTGTCATATCGTTGTCAATATATTATAATCATTGTATTGATCCTTTTCTCATTATTATTGTATTCGCTTTTTGTATCATTATTATATTTATTGCCACCATCTTATCTTTTTCTATATATTTCTATCATCATTTGTAGAATTATTATTGTATCCATTTTGGTGTCATTGTTATTTATTCTAATTATTCTCTTTCTATTTGTGTCCTTCGTATGATTATCATGGTGTCAGATTACCTGATGAAGGATCCATGATGGACTCCGGACTCTCCTGTGAAGAATGCCGCATTACACGGCGCGGGTTTCCTGTATATACTGTACATTATCATTTCGGGGTGGAGTTTTTCCTCGAAGAAAAACAAGACGGATCTCAGGGATCTGATTGACAGGACTTGGCTGATCGGAGTATAAATTACACCCATAGCAGTGCTGGATCCAGGCGGGGCTGTGACCTCCTGTGAGGACAACCTGTGTGGTCTGGCCCCGCCCTCCATCAGTGCGAACTTCAACAGACCCCCCCCCCCCCCCGCAATGTACGGAATGATGTGCGCCAAAGAGGGACCCTCTACACCCCCGCCGGACCCCCATCATCCAGGAGACCCGATCCCTACATACAATATGGGCCACAGTACATTACCTGCACCAGAGGAGCTTACGCTCTAATGTCCCCTCCCCCACAGTCCCATCAGTCCTCTGTACCAGAGGAGCTTAATGCTCTAATGTCCCCTCCCCCGCAGTCCCATCAGTGTCTGTACCAGAGGAGCTTACACTCTAATGTCCCCCTCCCCCACAGTCCCATCAGTCTCTGTACCAGAGGAGCTTACGCTCTCTAATGTCCCCTCCCCCACAGTCCCATCAGTCTCTGTACAGAGGAGCTTACACTCTAATGCCCCCCCCCCCA